TTGTCAGGCTGCCCCCCACCCCGGGTCCCTCCTGCTCCCGATGACAGGCTGTTGCCTGGGGTTTGTGCCCAAGGCAGCAACCACACGCAGCACTGCTCCTCCAACACTCCCCCAAACCAGACCCATGCATCACCACTCCGCGCATGCCTGAGGCTATTACATCCGTGTTAAAAAGTGGGCAGGCGTGGTCCCCCCAGCCTCCTCGGTTCTCGTGCCCCTGGGCCCCCAGGTAAGGGAGACCCAAATGTTCTTTGTGCCCAGAGCTCCAATAAATCTTAATTCATCTCTGGTTATACACCATTGTAGTTACTCCTAACTTATACCAGTGTAAGTGAGATCAGAAGCCTGAATTGCTGTTCTCTCCCCCCGCCCCCCTGACACTGATCTGTACATGAACCAGACCCTCCACCCATAGAGCTCCCCTGGCACAAAAGAAGATTCACACGCCTCCAGGGCTCCACCCACCTTCCTCTGGACCACAAAGATCCCTCTAGAAGTCTGGTCAAGGTAAGGGGAGGCAATGAAGACTAGGACAGTTGAGGAGTAGATTGGCTGTGTAGGAGCCCGTTTGGATGCACATCATCCCCCACTCTCCAATCCCATACAGAATCCTCCGAGAATAGATAATACGAGCCAGCACTGCAATAATGGAAAAGTCTAGGACAGTATTATCTCTTCTATATAGTTCTTCCTCACTATCTCCTGGGTTGGGGGGTCCAGGGGCAGGCATAGCTCCCATTGGAGCCACACAGCCAGGTACCAGGGAGCCATCAGAGGCCACACTGGTACATAGGCACAGGACCTCGGTGCAGATGTATTTAATCTCCAATGGATACCCAGGGATCTACCAGATTTTGGTGCGGACCCCACAGCTCATTCCATAAGGATGAGGCAAAGTCACTGGCCCAACAACAGAATGATAGAGGATGTACTCTGCAATATGATCCTCAGAATTTGGATACACCCCCCTGAACTCCCTCACCAACCCCACCCCGAGTGGCCAACTAGTTAAAGCAGTGTTGCCAATTTAGTCCTTTTTCACCTGCTCCCCACCCTGTAAAGTTGAACACCCCCTCTCATTTCAATTCCTGTAGAAAACATTTTTCCGAAAGATTTCACCACAGGATGAGGGAGATTGTGGGCCAGAATCAGACCCCAGGTCATTTCTTTCAAGAATGGTTTTCAACAACAATTTTAAAACACATTTTCCCTTATCCAGAGAGGTCAGTACCTGATGGCAAAACACTGCCTACCTCTCCCCCCTCCCCCCCCAAAAAAACCCACCTTTTTCAAGTACTGAATTGAAAAAATATTTCAGGACGGGAAATTTTGTGAGGTCCTAAGAGTGCAAATTCTGCTGTTCTATCTCACATAAAAAAAAAAGTACTAGAGAAATACAGCACTAGATTCTCAACTAGTGTAAATCAGTATTGAATTCAGTAAAGCTTGGCAAATTTACCCCAGCTGTTGGGGATCTGACCCAAAATTTTTAGGAAATACTGAAGTGTGATTTAGCACAAGCAGCAATGAGAATAAGGGGAATCAGGAAAGGAGTCAAAAGACAAAACCTGAGAAGAAAATAAATGCCTGTGAAAGTATTTTGACATTATTGGTGTAGATGCAGATTAATTTAAAAATAAAAAACTGGAGAATCTGCACATTCTTCTAGAGTTATGTATGAGATCTGACTCTCATCTATCTGATAGCAAATGTGAAAGCAATGTATCTGTTGATGAAGCTAACTTATTTCTTTAATGGATTAAAGATAAACTATCAGATTATTGAGGCATAAATGTTGGCCAGGGGGCCAAATTCAGACATAGTAAACAGGTGCAACCCTATTGAATTTGATGGAGTTGCACCCACTTGGTCTGTAAATCACTATAATTTAAATCACCATTGTTCAGCTGTTTCCGGCCTTCAACTCAAATGAGATGCTGCAGGGTAATCAAGAACATAAAAGAAAAGAGGCTTGTTTTAATGGTTAATTTCTAACACAAATAAAACACATGCTAATAAATGAACGGGTGGACAAGGCCACAGGTTTGCAAAGTGTTTTTGTTGGTGTGTGGGTTGTTTTTTCTTTGTTTGTTTGCCTTAGGGGTGTTAATGTTTTGTGGTTTTTTTGCAGAGGGGAAGTAACACATTCCCCAAAAGTCCTTTCGTCCCTCTCCCCTCCCCAAGTCCTCCCTCTCCCAGCCACCAATAGATTCATCTACAGCAGGCCTTTTATGAACAAAAACACCTGTGGATTTTTCTCATTTTTGTGTGCATTCTTTAATATTTCAAAGTGCATTTCTTGGCATATAACTCATTACAAAGACAGACTGGTGGGTGGTGGTGGTTGTTTTTTTGAGGTCCCAGGCTAAATATTTTGGCCTCTGGGCCCTATCCCCATTAATTCTAGAACAGGGTTAACTGCAATATTTATATATGGTTGTAGGATTCATACTTAACAAATACTTTGAAGATATTGTTTCCAGCTTCATTGTAGAACAATTTTCTTATTCAACATCAACAGTGATTTTTTTAATATCATCTACAATAGGTAAAACCATGCTATAACTTCCCTCGGGTAATATAGTTTTTTAGTTTCTCTTTATATATGGCCACAAACTGTGTAATAAGCACACAGGCCTGTAATCATGTTTGAAAAGTGTTTTAGATGTAGTGAAAAAATCTTACAGTAGACATTGTCTGTTTTATATTCACTTTTCCATATGTTGATTCTCTGACTGCAAGCAAAATAGGCAGTCTAGTTCCAGTAGAGCCAGAAAAATCAGATTTGAATATTATGTCTGATTAAAAAAAAAGGCAAGTACAAATACAACCATTGTCCAAACCCTTACGGTAGAATGTGCTCAAGCCATTCACCACTCAAAGGTCTGGTCCTGCTTCTATTGACATCAATGGGAGCAGGACTGGTACCAAAACTTAAATTATGGCTTTTATGGTAGATGATCATAGAATCGTAGGACTGGAAGGGACCTCAAGAGGTCATCCAGTCCAGTCCCTTGTGTTCATGGCAGGACTAAGTATTATTTAGACCAGAGGTTCTCAAACAGTGGTCCGCGAGATCCATTCAGGTGGTCCGCGGATAGTTCCTTCTAAGGCGCGTGCCTGGGCAGCTGCACACAAGAGAATGAAGGGCCACCCCCCTAATTAGTGGAGCCGCGCCTGCCTGCGTGGCTCCACTAATTAGGTGCCTGGACCCTGGAGAAGATGCACATGTAAGGTGAGGTGGTGGCCTTAGGGAGAATAGGGGGTTGGTGGGGAGGGCAGTGGGGTGAGAAGAGGGGGTGAGGGAATTTGAGATGTGCAGGGCTGCGGCAGCCAGAGAAAGAGGTGACTTTCCCCAGCTCCAGGGCTGTGGCTGCCGGGAAGAGACGGCCCTCCTTCCCAGCCCCAGCTCAGGGGCTGCCGCGGCGGAGGAGAGAGGGCACATTCATCATATTAGAAAGGTAAGACTACTAATATTAAAATATGAGTTGTGTGCTTTTATTTGTAGAACAAAAAATGTTTATTATTATGTTTTTTTTAAATAGCGCTTTTATCCAAAGCGCTTTACAATAGTTAGTCAACAGTACAAACAACATTTGGAAAGATCATTAAGTGGTCCACCAAAACCCTCAGCAATTTTCAAGTGGTCCACAAAAAAAAAAGTTTGAGAACCACTGATTTAGACCATCTCTGACAGGTATTTGTTTAACCTGCTCTTAAAAATTTCCACAACCTCCCAAGGCAGGTAACGACCCTGACAGGAAGTTTTTCCTAATGTCCAACCTAAATCGTCCTTGCTGCAATTTATGCCCATCACTTCTTGTCCTTTCCTCAGAAGTTAAAGAGAACAATTTTTCTCCCTCCTCCTTGTAACAACCTTTTATGTACTTGAAGACTGTTAGCATGTCCAGGGCTGGTGCAAGGAAGCTTCGCGCCCTAGGCGAAACTTCCAGCGCCTCCCTCCCAGCCCTGAGGCACCCCCCCTCCCTCCCAGCCCTGAGGCACCACCCCCACAGCAGCTCCCCCTCTGCTCTGAGGCCCCCCGTGGCAGTTCCCCCCCGGGGAGCCGTGCGGCAGCTCCCCACCCCAGCTCACCTCTGCTCCACCTCCTCCCCGAGCACGCCCTCCTCGCTCTAATTCTCCTCCCCTCCCAGGCTTGCGGCGCCAAACAGCTGATTGGCGCCGCAAGCCTGGGAGGCGGGAGAAGTGGAGCGGCGACCGCACACTCGGGGAGGGGGCATAGTAATTTGTTAAGTTTCAAAAATTGTCCTCACCATTGACCCAAAGCACACAGCTTCTGCTATATGTAGTGAGATGCTGGGGATAAACTGTGCTTGGACTTCCTTCAAGGGACAGGTGCATCTGTTGTCATATCAGGCGTGTGATTTCTATCAAGTCACAGCCTAGCACACTGCTACGTTGGGGTTGTGCTGCGTGTTCCAGCTAATGTATAACTGCTGCTTTCAGAGCGCCCGATATGAACCCCACCAAGCTATCGTGGCACCAGCTGAACAATTATATGAGGAGCAGCCCAGGAGGAAAGGCTCACAGTCATCCAGCTGTTTTCCCCCACCTAGTGGGAGAAAGGGATGCTCCAGGGGGATGCAACTGGCTCCGCTGCCTGGCCTGTTGTGTGCTCTCAGCGGCTCCCCGCTGCCCTCGCACACACATCAGCAATTACAGCGGCTTGGTATATCGTGTCAGTGCCGTAACTTCGCAGGGGGGTTTGCGAAGCTCGGCTCCTAAAACCACTGGCTCGCGTGTGTGTGTGAACGGCCCCCACAGCAACACGTCGGGCGTGGAAGGGCCGAGGGCAGACACGCTGCCTCTGTACACGCGTCAGTGCCACCCACCGAGCTGAAACGTGAGCCCCGAGAGGCAGCAGCGAGACAAAGGGGGCGGGAGAGTCCCGGGCAGCGGCAGCAGCGCTCCGCAGAGCAGGGCAGCGCCCAGCTGATGGGCGGGCGCACGCGGCAGCTCAGTCCCCCCCCGCCCGGGTGCGCCCTTTGCTTTCCCGCGGGGCCGGGCGCTGTGCCCTGCCCCCACTCCCATCCCTGCCCCGCAGCGGCGGAGGAGCAGTCCCGCTGTCCGTCCGCAGCCCGCTTGCATGGATGGACACACAGCGGCGCGGCCAAGGAGACTTGCTTCCCAAGCTGGCGCTGCTCTTTGTCTTCGCAGGTCAGTGGGGAGGGCGCGGGGCGGAGGTGCCGCTTGCTGGGGGGGTGCCAGGGAGCACGGGGCGGGGGCAGAGACGGGCTGGGTGAGCGGGGCAGCGCGGTTCGGAGATGACCCGTGGGCAGGCCGGGGCTGTACAGCCTACATCCTGCAGCAGCTGCTCTGTTCTCCCCCTGCCGCCCACGTGCTAAGGCTTGTCAGTCTCCGGCAAAAGCCCGCGGAACAGCAGGGTGCCGAGGCGGAGGGCCACGGGGGAGTTCACGGCGCCTGGGGCGCTTCAGCGGGATTCCCCTCTTGGAAGTTGGCAAGTACCTGGCTCCGTCCCCGGAGGGGTTTCAGTAAGCAGGGCCGTCTGCCTCACACACAGGCCGGCACCCCGCCGACTGGGACTCGGACCAGCCCTTTTCAGAAGAAGAAAGAGGCTTGGCAAACGTGCTGCGGCGACTGTGGAATCGCTTAACCCAGGTTTACTAATGAACGAGCGACTCCGAATCCAGGAAGTTTTTCTTTCTCGCCAGGATGAGCAGTTTTCAGCGGATTACCTGCGGCGGAAAACCCTGTGTATTCCACATCAGGTGCTAGGATTTGGTTTAAAATTGCCGGTAATTAGAGTAAATAAAGTAGGGGCACATTTCTCCTAGCTCTATCATCTGCTCCTGAGAACAATTACATTTGTCTTTACTATGTTGATTTTTAAATTGATAACAATCACATTTAATTATCTTTAAAACTAATTCAACTAAACCAAATTAATAAAAAGAAGCTCCAAACATTCTCCACTATGCAACATGCTCATGTTGTAGGGAAACAACCCACTTCCTTCCCTGCTGAGCCAAGGGATGCACTCCAGCCACGTACTCATTGGCTACACTGATACTGATTTGGTGTGCCTGAGCCCACTCATCCACTGACACTTTAAAAATTCATACTCCCTCATCTATGCATGTATCTCTTCACCCTTGCAACCGATACCTGTAATCCCTTATAAATCAAGCCTGACCCCAGATGTACAGTACCTTCCCTCTTAACTTGTGTATATTTAATTTTAAACATTAACTTTAATAAAATTTAGGACCCTATCCTGCACCTACTTAAATCGGCAGCAGAAGTGGGCCTCTACTTCTGATAGTCACACTCCAGCAGAGCAAATCAATATTTTACTTTCTCTTCCTAGTTCTGCTCTTACTGACTTTAATGGGAGCAAGGTCAGTCCCTGGACTAAAAGTTTGAGTTTCAATTAAGCACTTCTAATATCCATTACCCAGGCTCTGCCTACCTAAGTGGACAATGTGATTATTCCTTTTATCCTGTTTCTCTCTAATTTTATTACAGTAGATAGTCAATGAGCTATTTGTAGTGTAGACTGAAGTGTATGTGCATTTAACCTTTTAATATTAATTGCAATTAAATAAAACCTGGAATCTCAGCAAATTGCTGTCTGTGTTTGGTCCAAATTCAAACCAGGTGTAAGCATCTGTAGCTCCATGGTTGTATCTGTATGAGTCTCTTTTGCAGTCCTTCAACAGTTGCACTACCACAAATGGAAGCACATTGGCAGTGCTAGTGCAGACAGGTGACAGCATTTTTACCACCCTACCATGTAAATTTACACAGAGGAGGAGGTGTACACGACATGGTAGCTTTTAAAAAACAAAACAAGAAAACTGGTCCCGTGTCTGCCATTACCATACAGCAGAGGTGGGCAATCTCTGGCCCTTCGGGGTGATCTGCTGGTGGGCCGCCAGACATTTTGTTTACATTTGCATGGCTGCTTGCAGCTCCTGGTGGCTGCGGTTTGCCATTCCTGGCCAATGGGAGCTGCGGGAAGTGTCAGCCAGAATGTCCCACCACTGCCATACAGGGAGGAGGCGCGGCAATGGTGGGAGACTTTAAAAAAAATAAAAAAAAGGGCTATACAAATCCCTTGATTACAGTGGAGTAGCTGCCACTTACAGTGGGTCTGAATTTAGCCCAAGGGGACTAATTTACCTCATATTGCCCTCATTAGAAAAGGCCTCAAATCAGGAAAGAATCCCTATTCAGGACAGCACTCTTTGGGATTTAAGGACATGGATAAAGTTAAGCACATGCTTAAGTGCTTTCCTGACTCAGTAACTTTAAAATTGACAGTACAATAATCAGTCAGAAGCTACCAAGATTCTGTGGTTTGTACACTTAAAGAATAGTGCTATGCTTAATTGTTCACATAAGAATATCTTGTGTGTTGGCTGATAACTTTTGCCACTTTTGGAGAAGTTTCTTTTTTCGTTGATAATTTAAATTGATGATTTGTTTCATTTGTGTTATTTGATCAAATAATTGATCATCTACATTCCTTGAATGATAAGCATGTGTACAGGACATTTCTCTGGGATTCTCTCAAAAAGATAATCATGCCCATTTTAAGTCTCTCTAATGCTACCAGAAATTAACTAGCTTGCTCACTCACTCCCCCTAAATGAGCACTGCAAGTTTTTAAATCCCTTCTTATGAGCTAGGTGACCCAGCACCAGTAAAACCAGGAGGCAGTAATTGCGGTAGCCATGTAGATGAACGTTGCATGATTCTTCCACTTCCTTTGCTATGTTGATTATTATGAGGAAGCAAGGCTCTGAAGCATATGGGGCCTGACCTTACTGACACGAGAAGCCCCACTGAAAACTAATTCAGAAATGTCAACAAAAGCTTAATTTGTAGTTGCAAAGGGCCAAAAGTCTCCAAATTAAACCCTCAATTGCACTTGTGGAAACGTATTTTCTTCCAATTAAGCCCTCAGTGGGGCTGCATCTGTTTAACTAAGGAATTAATTTGGCTTGTTGAATCTTTATTACTGGGGTTAATGACCTACAAGATGGAAAGACCCCAAGCAGACTCTGAGCCCAAGTTGGGTTTATGACAGTTAGAAAAACATCTTGATATGTAAACTTAACAAAATTGCACTGGAAATCAGTGAGATGCAATAAACATGGAACCTGGCAATAACAGTTTTACCTAGCTACTTTTTCAGAGGAGAACCTGAACTTTGAGTTGGGGCTTTTACTTAGGAGGAACTAGTTTGTTTCTTTAAAAACAACAACAAAACCACTGCTAGTGAAAAACTTTTCTCTTTCTTCAATATATGGATATTTATTCTTTGTTTGCTAACCTTTTGATTTTATTTCTTTGTACAGTTTGATTATTCTGTCATTCTCAGAAAATGATGCATTAAAAGACGAGGAGGGGTGGGGGCAAAAGTGGTTGTATCCTTCTAGCTAGGAGTGCCCCTGGCACAAAGGTGTTCTACACTACCCTGCTTGCAGCTGCTAATACAGAAGATGAATTGGAGACGGGGTTAGTGGGGGAAGAGTCAAAGTGCACTGTGTTTCAGTTGTTCTTAGCTAGCAGATGGTGCCTTAAGGACCATTGCCAGCTGGCCCAGCTCAAAGCAGCCCCCAGGCTGCTCTAGCTTACACCTAGGGCTGGGGATTAGACCGGGAATCAAGGACCTATAATCAGCTCACTCTCTGCTTGTCCCAGCATACAACTCAGTGAACCAGAATCTTTCCCTAGATATTTCTTTGTATTTATTGTTAAAATATAAAAAGATAATCTGTACTGTTGCAAATTTGAAATTCTTTTTTAAAAAACAGAGGGAGAGAGCCCATATAGCCAAACTGCAAAATACAGATATACAGTGACACCTGAAGATGTACTCTTCAAGCCAGTTGGAATTCTGCTAGAGTTCGGATTACAGAGTCAGATCAAACCTCAAATGAAGTCCTATCAGTGACCAATTCAATGCAAAAAGCTGCTAAAAATGCATCTTCTTTAAAGCTGTGCTATATAGTTTTTTACTATTGAGACTGCATTGTTATTTTTATTCTGCAGAAGATTGTCTTGCACAGTGTGACAATGACTGCAAAGCTTACTGCTGTGATGGGACTACCCCCTACTGCTGCTCGTATTATGCCTATATTGGGAATGTCCTTTCGTAAGTATTGTCACTTTCTTGAGAAAATTGATGCCCCGTATTCATGACCTGCTGTAAAGTTAGATGACTGAAAACTGTTTGACAATAAACATTTCAAGATTGTTTCCTGCTAATAACATCATAAATATTTCCAGAATAAAAACCCTTAATGGTCCCATGAAATCCAAGTGTTGTATACTTTTAAAGTATGTATTCATGTCAATAGATTTGGCTAGATCATCAGCTTGTGTAAATTAACATAAATTCTTTGTGATCATTGGAGCTACACTGATTTATTCAAGCTGAGAACAGGCCAGAACAAAGTCATTAGATAAGTGGACTAGATTATTGTAAATTTGATCTTCCTGTTTTGTTTTGTTTTTTGAGCGTATGTCATTTGTGCTTTTGAAAAATTGTGTTTTGTCTTTAGTTAGAATTCATTGTAAACATTTCAGATTAGGGTCTGCTGGTCCTTTCACATTCTAGTGTGTGTTGCACATTGTAAGGCTTTGCACATTGTGGTATGTGTAAAAACAATGGCTGCTGATAGAGGGGAAACAAGGATATTCCCATACCAAAAGAAATGCAAGGGTTAAATTCTCCATTCAACATGCATGTATAGAAACATATCCCAATCCTGTAATTAAATCTGCTAATGCAGATCTTTGTCTCGAAGTGCAGCCTTGTTTGAAATCAGTAAGGTTTCTTGTAGGTGTACTAAATGCACACTAAGGTGTGCACTAAGTCTAATTGTAGGTTCAGTGTCTAAATGTAGTGATAGCCAGTAAGTGTTCCACATGTGCATCAGAACAAAGCAAACATTAAAACATACAATGGTATTCTGGGATAAATTATTTGTTACATATTCTTGATCAAAACCAGAGTAGCAAAGAGACGTATATCATGCCTTTAAAACAGTGTTTCCCAAACTGGGGACGCCGCTTGTTTAGGGAAAGCCCCTGGCAGGCCAGGCTGGTTTGTTTACCTGCCGCGTCCGCAGGTTCGGCCGATCGTGGCTCTCACTGGCCGCGGTTCGCTGCTCCAGGCCAATGGGAGCTGCTGGAAGCAGCGGCCAGTAAGTCCCTTCTGTTTTGGTCCTAGAACATTGGGAGTATATCAGTGTTCCATTCAGCATACTTCATCATGCTTTTGAAGGAGCAGACATATTGATGATATCTTAATTTATCCAAGGCCTTTGCACCAAATTAGAAACTTTTTAGACAAAAGTAAATAACCTAACAATAGCGTGTCAGAATCTAGCATTCCTCTGGAAATAGGAGAGCACGTATTCAAGATTTCCTGGTATTGTCTGAGAATTAAAATAGGTTCTTGCTTCCACTCAGGGGATAAAATGTTCCAATTTAATTTTCTTTTCTATGTAATGAAAACTTATTCTAAGGATGTTTCCTCATTTGTTAACAGAGAGAGAGAGGTGGTTGTTTCTGAGATCCCTATCCCAGCATGTATGTCTTGCATAGAGTGGTGGGAATGTTAGCAAGGGCTATGATACCTCAGAGACAACCTTGTCATTGTTGGGTGGGCCCGAAAAACAATTTAATCTCCCACTGCCCCACAAACCTAATCAATTCTGTCCTTCCTGATAATAGTGCTCAGCACAGGGATTTGGGGAGGGTCAACAAAATGATTCCTTAGCATCCCGCAAGGTTAAACTGACCCATTTTATATAAAGGGCAGGGATAGGAGGAAGTCTTCAGGTCACAGCGCCTTCAGCTGCAGGAGAAGTAGAGACGACCTGCTTTCCTTGGTGTTTATGCATCGTTTCCAGTATATGTAATAAACAGTTTTGCAATGGACAGTTATCTAAGTAAGTCTGAGACCTGGGAGTTGCTGGGCTGGTGGAGGGTTTTGTGTGCATTTGGATGAATTTTACCGCTTGATAGAACATTGCAAACACTAATCGTCACAGCATTTCTGTGAAGGAGGCATGTACGTTATTCCAATTTTTACAAATGCTAAGATACCAGTGCTGATGAGACCAGTATAAATGCCAACAGAGAAGGGGAGTTTAAGCTAGAAAGATTAAGTGACTTGACTGAGCCCAGACAGGGAACTAGTTAGTGTCACAGCCAGGGTTAGAATGGTGAAGTTTCTACAGTCCATTACACCAGTCAGTCTCTTAATTTATTGAGCTGCCCCTCTTTGTAGCCACAGGCCATGCTGAGTGCTTAACAATGGAGCTGTCTCAGTTGCAAGGAGCTGTCTCAGTTGCAAGGGGACATTGCATTAGTAAATTCTATGCCATCACTAGCAGCTTAAGTAGCACCCAGCCTCAGTCGCACCCACAGCTCGCAGTGGGTCTGGCATCTTCCCAGAGCTGGGTGAATAATGGGGCAAAATATTGAATAACTTAGTTACAAAATGGTGTGAAATAAGACAAATAATTTTTTGACGACTGTCATTTGACCAGACCTAGGTCCTCCAAAAAACCAAGGAACTTGAGAGTGTGAGTTTGTGTCCCCATAGACCAGTCCTGGGTAATGAATTCCTTGGGTATCTAGGAAAGTCACTGGCAAAGGTTCAACCCTAGTGATCAGTTTATATTCTCAGGGATATTTTCACAAAAGGAAGAGGTGGAAATGTCTACTTAAAAAGTAGACAAGAAAACGAAAGCTGAGATTGTCACTAATGTTCAAAGCTTCAGAATTAGTGAGAAGGGGCACTGCAGGCTTTACAAACCTAAAAGCCAACTTGGCATAGCTGTCAGTCCAGGCTCCTTTGTTTGTAGGGGCAGTTTAAGGGATGCATTTTGTTGCAAAGTTTATGAAGTCCTTTGGTAAACATTTTCAGACTGATTATTTTGAGTCCTGCTTGGACCGAAAAATAGAACACATCACTCCAGTGATACCAAAAACCAAATGGAAGGCCGGGCAAATAACAACTTTAGAACTCTGTGATTTCATTAAAGATAGTCAGCTGAGATTTGCAAAAGAGGAGGCTGAACAAATCCAAAAGAAATGGTGAGAAAGTAGCAGTCTGATGTCTATTGAATTGACAGGTGTTACATGAACTTCAGGGGAAAATACTTTTGTTACAGTCTGGGGGCTGTGGTTTGTGGCAGGAAGGAAGGAAGAGGGACAGAAAGAATGGAAGGAAAAAAGGCAGACAACATGTTCAATATAAAATTTTTGTGCATACTCCAAGCTGCAGAACTGGAAAAAAGAAGAATATGTAGTGGCAGAAAGTATGGCATATGCAGTAAGATACGTGATATCAAGCAAAGGGTACTTCTGACTGAAAACAGTATGTAAATGAGGAAGGTGCCTGACTGAGTTCAGCAAGGGTTGTGATGAACAGGGATTTTGTTCATTTCAGATATCAGTGACCTGGAATAAGAAATGTACATTAAGTTGATTCATGGTTTTGTGTGGACAGTTGATATTAAGGAAAAGTGCAGGAACATTCAGAATGTCTTGGATAAACTAGGAGTATGGGCAGAGACTGGGTTTATGTACTTCACAATCAATATAAAATAATGAAATTCAGAATTCATGATAAATCTAAAATGCTCAGCAACAGTTGTCTAAGACAGTGGTTCCCAAACTTGTTCCGCGGCTTGTGCAGGGTAAGCCCCCTGGCGGGCCGGGCCGGTTTGTTTACCTGCTACGTCCGCAGGTTTGGCCGATCGCGGCTCCCAGTGGCTGCGGTTCACTGCTCTAGGCCAATGGGGGCTGCTGGAAGTGGCGGCCAGTATGTCTCTCAGCCCGCGCCGCTTCCAGCAGCTCCCATTGGCCTGGAGCAGCAAACTACGGCCACTGGGAGCCGCGATCGGCCGAACCTGCGGATGCGGCAGGTAAACAAACCGGCCCGGCCCGCCAGAGGCTTTCCCTGCACAAGCGGCGGAACAAGTTTGGGAACCACTGGTCTAAGAGATACATTTGCATCTGTTTTGTAAAACTTTTTACAATCTGCTTGAAATACGCTGATTAAAAGAGGCTTAATTTTAATATTCAGGTAGTTCACATGACTAGAAGCACATTTGATTATAAAATGTCAATTTTCTGGCAATTATCATTTTGTGCTTTTGTCATTTCAGAAGCATAAGGGCCACCCTATTGCAAGCCCAAAGGACTGATTTATAAAACTTTCCATCTGAGTTTAATTCTGGTTTCCAATAGGAGGATTCCCCTGTGGGAGTGGACGTGGTGGGGTTTGAATCATGAGGTGAAGGGGGTAGAGTCTGAAGACTTTTGTGTGGAGTGTTGGGAGTTAGTATAAAGATGCCAGAAATACATGGGAAAGGTCAATTCAATGGACTAGAAGTAGTTTTATGTGCTCTCATGACAGAATGAGTATCAAATTCAGCCTTCCACTCCTCAGGCCTCAATCATCTGAAAGCCCTTCAGATATATATTGGGTGCTACTCTAATGCAAATAATCTTTCTCAAACCATCTAATCTGCAAAAGCTGCATTCTTGAGAGACAACAGGCTATTTCCATCTGTTCCTATTCATTTAGAGCCCTGTTGAGGGCCAAGACTAAATATTCTCCCTACATTCCATTTCCTTTCTTTTCTTTCTTTCTTTCTTCTCCCACACCATCAGGTGCATAAGTCAGTTTTTACCATTAGTTTTGGACTTGTGTTGGTCTGTTCTGGCTTCTGAGTGTCATGTTGATGGATTTAGGTTCTTTCTCTGTTCTATGTAACTTTTCTCTAGATCAACCTATCTTTCATTTTGCATAGGGTGTCCATGTTATCACTTGACGTGGAAGTAGTGTTAGGTGTCATCCTTAAAGTGTGCCCTAAATATGACCATAGTCTTCGTCTTGTCATATGATGCTTTAAGTTGGTGTGTTCTACTTAGAATTTCTGATACTATAATGAACTTTTTCCAGTGGACTCTGAAAATTGTCCACAGGCATGTATTTTGGAGTACATTGATCATCTGATCAATCGCTGTTATATGTTTCCATGACTCTGCTCCATGAACAAGGACCAACATGATGCTGGTGTTAAAAATTCGTATTTTTGTATCAGTGCTGATCATTCTACTTTTCCAAAT